CTTTGACACCTGGCAACCAAAATGAAGAGTAGCACCTTCCATCTCAAATGCAAATTGTTTGGGCCTCTGTTCAATGTCATGATCATTTATAAAAGCCTTTAAATAAGTTCTACCAAACCACAACCGCTTATTATTTGCAAGGTCTATAATGTACTCAACTCTTTCCCTTGTTTTGAATTGTACTTTTGCATATGATCTTGACCCTTTGTTTGCCTTTTTGACCTCTATGGCATAAATAGTCCCGGGACCCGTGTAATTCTCTAGAGATGTTTTGATTAATTCTGCAGATTCTAATTTTGGGTATCCATACACCTGAACTGTCTTACTCATGGTGTTTTAGCTGTAATGTTGTTTTATAAAATGCAATCAGTACCCAAAACTACATTGAAATCATGATAAAAGAAGAAATGACAAACAATTTAAGCATAAAAAAAAAAAAAGTAGAAACTAGAAACTACATTATTGGAATAACTTGTTTATAGAAACCAGTTACCTCCCTCTTTTACCTTTTTCCCAATTTTGTACAAAGAATCCAAGTAACTATTTCTGAGAAAAGTACAAATGAAAACACATTTGACCTAATCTAAGAATCTAGGTTGGCTTCATAAATGAAGATCACACGTTTTAATCATAGAACATATGATTTATATCTTCACGTAAAAACAAATTTACAGGACTCTGATGATAGATCACGCATTTTACTAACTGAAATTCGTTCATTTCATCAAACAAAAAGCAAAATTGTCTACAAACTGATAAAATTTTTACCAGGTTCGATCATTTTAAGCTAGTAGCAATTAGGTTAGAAATCAATAATGCTATCATAAAGCTTAAGTAACAGAAACTATTTAGCAGTTAGTATGCAATGGAAGAGCGATTCACCAAGTAGTGAAGACGACGAAGCGAAACGACGGCGTCGATGATCTGCGTAAGGGTTGGGGTTTGTTCATGGACGTTTTTATGTATAATTGGATTGGATATAGGGGACTTCGATCGTCAATGACAAGTCAATTTGCTAGTCTTTTTCTAGAAGATTCCTTTTGGTTTATCGTTTTGTGGCTAAATCGTACTATAGTAGCATTATTTGACGTTTAAAAAGTTAAAGTGAATATAGTGAGTGTATTATGGGTCACAAGAAGGACTATGTTGTTTCATGAATTTTTAATATCATTCGTCCTTTTCGCTATACTTTATTAATAGATATATTTCCGTTAAAAATATATGTCATTTGAAAAAAGAAAAGATGGTATAATTACTTTATCTTTTAAGTATACTCTTTTGACTGTTTTTATTATTTTATTTCGACTTATTAATAATTAATCGAATTCGTTAGGTTGGGAATTGGGATAGAATAAATTTTTTTAAAGCTTATTCGATTTGTATTTACTAGATATTGTTTAGTGATAAATGTGTTTACGGAAAATATATTATATCATGATACACAAGGTTTATAAAAATAAAGAAGAATTATTGTCCCTTTTCACATTGGTGTGATTGGCCCCACACAAATCTCATATGTTTTGATGAAAATAAACATTACCAACCGTAATATTCCCACAAGATGATAACGATGATATTTAAAAATTTGAAGAACATCCGTACACCTCCAACTTTTAGTTGGTGATTTCACCCATTGTTTAAAGTGGCGTCTTTGGAGACACTATTTTATGTTTAGATCATTACGCTCATATTCCAATAGAAGATAAATTACATCAAGAAGTGGGTCGTTGTTAGATGAAGTGTATCCATTGAGGTGAACCCAAGACTAGGTGCACAAGTTATGATCAAAAATATCTTGAATTGTTTTAAAAGTGAGGAGCTTGTCATAAAACAAAGTGTATATTACACCAAAAGAATAATGAAATAGGATGAACGAGCTCTCCACTTTTAGTTTAAAAAAGTTGTTTGATGCTTCACAATCTAAATTCAATTTGTTTTTCCGTGCATTTAGACCATCATATTTGGTCGACATGTACTTTTATAGTTTTATACTAAATAAATATGACTAGATTTTGTTTGCATAAACTATAAATTAAATAATATAAACACTTTTTACTATTTAATATCACATACTTTTAACATAAAGGGGCATTATTAAGCTTTTATGCCCTGGGCATGAAAAACCAACGGACCGGCCCTGTGATTTGTATACGTACACTATAATAAACTATTCCTTAAATAAATTCCAAAAAATCAGGGGATTGAGTTATTGTTACACATTCGAATTCAAAATGATTAGCATGAAACCTGATGATCTTAGATTAGTCGTTTGAGCGGGAAAACATCAAAATAACTTAACCAGAAGAAGATGCCACATGAAGTCAAAAATCGAACCTGCAAAGTCAAAAATCCAAGTCGGAACCCAACCTGATGATCGTCGTATGACATCGTTTAAACTCTATGACGACCTCTATCAAACATAATTGAACCATTGCTATAGTAATTCCAACGTCAAAACAAAAAGAGAAAAAATTGAAGTTAAAACAATCATAAAAAAAAAGTAAAATCAAATCGAAAATACTTGCTTTGAATCTTGAATAATACCTAGAAGTTGATCTCGTTAACAAAAAATGGTGATAGCTGTATAGATGATTGTGAATGATGGTGAAGGATGGTAGAGGAAGTGAAAGTTGGTGGTGGTGATATTATTAGGGTTTCGACTCAGGGAGATGATTTAGTTGGCTGATTTACTGATAAATATATAGTGAGTATCAAAAAACGGAGGAAGAAGAAAGATACCTCAATTTTGAAATCGACAATGAAAGAAACACAATCGTCGAGGTGTATGTGGAAGCTTAATTATGGCATTTTTATTCTCTGCCACAATTCTTCTATTTCTCTGTACCAAAGGTGCTCTTAACGATATCAAATTACTAAATAATCAGAAAACAATAAATTTCCATTTAACTAATGTTTATGACTTGATGAAAGCATTGAGAGGGGGTAATCCAAGAAATTGAGTTTTACAAATTCTATTATGTGGTGGTGGTAGAGCTCTTATAGACAAATGCAACTAAGGGCAATTTGGTCCATAAACAAAAACTCTCATGGTAGTGTTGTTGTCAATTGGATTAAGGAGATAACATGCACCCTCAAGAAATAAGAATTTCTTAAATCAAAACTTTGCTATAAAGGACCAATCAAGGTCATTTGCAAGTAAATACACCATCCATCTTGTGAGAAGTTTGATTTAAACCCCGTTAGCATTTAAATGGATAATACAGATAGGGGGCTCTTGTATACATTGCATAAGGAAGATTATGCTAAGTTTACAGCAAAACAAACATAGTCAAATTGAAAATCACACTAAAATTACTTCACATGTTTGTGATCAAGCTTAAATTAACTCGTAATGATTTGGGAATCACCAAATATGTTGTTCATCCAATTATTTATCTTTCAAAGGAAGTTTTGTTAGCATGATTAATAACAACTTACAGGTGTTTCATAGACATCAAGAAATTTGTCCAAGTAGTTTACAGAATGATGAAAATAAGTTTTTTTTATCACATTAATTCATTCTTGATCACTATCTTTTGAGTTGTTGATTATCAGTTAAACCGTTTATAAATACGAAAATGTATGATGTTTCTTTTGGATATACATCAAATGACATGCTTACAATATCTTCATACTCAAATAAAACTATCTTTGTCTAAAGAATTAAAAAAATATACTTTTTTAGAATTTGTCGACTACTGGTCACACTTCAAGCAAACAATTTTAATATTTAAGTTAATAGAAAAATACTCATATTTTACATAAATTAATAATTATTTTACTGTCAACACATCATCAACCCCACAACTAAAAAATTACCCAACTTATAATTTTGCCAAAACAATATCGATAATGAAAATATAGATATGAAAGACAAAAGCAAAATCAACATATATAGTTATTATGACTAATTTTAGTCCTAAAATTCAAATCGTGACACTCCAGATTTTTCATTTTTCAGAGAGCAGCTATATCATGCCGAAATCACTTCAGAGGGGTAAAACCGTGTGTCGTGAATCCGAAGGAGTCATTTTGGCAATTAACCATAAGCAGTGAGTTATAACTTATAAATATAATATCGCCATAACAGCAATTCCCATCTCACTAAACTTTAGACACATAAATGATTATCATCACCAAGTCCTCTGATCCTGCAAGAAAGTTTGGTCAGAGGTCAACACATATTAATTTTTACAATGAAAAAATAGCTTTTTTACAACATTTTACAATTGGAGTTGCGTATTTATCCTAATTACCATAAATATGGGCGCAACTCTCGGTGAAGAAAGGATCCATGGCAGGGTAACAACCTCTAATACAAAGAAACAAAAGTAGGATTCTATAAATAAATAATACTCAAGTAAAGGAAAGTACGTTACAATTTATTCCATTTATATAAAAAATGCTACCTTAGGGTGTTTAGTACAGTTGAGGTTAGATTCCTTTTGGTTTATCGTTTTGTGGCTAAATCGTACTATAGTAGCATTATTTGACGCTTAAAAAGTTAAAGTGAATGTAGTGAGTGTATTATGGGTCACAAGAAGGACTATGTTGTTTCATGAATTTTTAATATCATTCGTCCTTTTCGCTATACTTTATTATTAGATATATTTCCGTTAAAAATATATGCCATTTGAAAAAAGAAAAGATGGTATAATTACTTTATCTTTTTAGTATACTCTTTTGACTGTTTTCATGATTACGGATGGTCCCTATGGTTTGGTGTTACTTGCACGCTTCGTCCTTGTAAAGAATTTTTAACTCGGATCATCCCTATAACTTTGATTTGTTACCCGCTTAGTCCCTTATTAAACTTTCCGTCTGATTTGGGGTTAGTAACCCCTCACGTGAGTGGCACGATGGGGGCATTTTCGTCCTTTCATAATTCAACGGACTTAAAACCACTTCTCCTTCCTTCTTTTCTCAATCGGTGCTTCCACTTCTCCTCTTCTACTCCATTTCTCTTGCTTCCTGAAGATTGAAGATCCACAAAATTGATTATGGTAAAATGCAACTGTGGAGCTATAGGGATTATACGAACTTCAGGGACAAAGAGAAACTCTGGTAGGCCATTTTATGCATGCCTTTTACAGGTATTGAGTTATCAATTTTTTTGGTAATTTCTATTTTAACCCTAGTTTGTGCTAATCGAGGCTATTGAAAACTTCAGGGACCAAGAAGTGGATTTATTTCGTGGGTAGATGAAGAAAATCAGAAGCATGAGTCTGAAAGCCAAAATCTTGAGCTTGAAATCCATAATGAAAAACTTCAAATCCAAAATCGTGACCTTGAAATCCAGAATGAAGAACTTGAAATCCAAAATCAGAACCTGAAAATGTTGTTAATTGCCAGTTGGGTTTTGCTTTTTGGAATAATTGTTTACAAGTGGTAGTATTAGGTATATCAGTAGTGGTTTTTGGTTGAAGATCATCTAATGCAAGGGTAATATTAGCATGTTTGTATTGTTGCATTTTAATGAAAGATATATTTTGGTACAATTAATTGTTGCACTTTGTTGTCTTACAATGGATTACAATGGATTACAATGGATTACATTGAGCATATGACCAATAAACATGCCAAATGAAATGACCAAAAACAAATGTCAAAGCACCAATAATTCATAGATTAGATAACATTAAAAAAAATCATTACATAAGAGTTTAACTAAAAACAAATGTCAAAGTACCAACTGCAATTGTTTTGGTGATACTAAACACAAAACAGTTTAACCAAAATACAAACATCACATGACATAAGAGTTTAACCAAAATAAAAGCATTACATGACATAAGAGTTTAACCAAAATAAAAGCATCACATGACATAAGAGTTTAACCAAAATAAGAGCATCACATGGCATAAGAGTTTACAATGGACCACCAACAGTTGGTAACTGCCCTTTGCCTTTCTCCTTCTCTTTTCCTTTCTCCTTCTCTTTTTCTTTCTCCTTCTTCTTTTTTCCCTTCTTCTTCCCAGATGCACCACCAACAGTTGGTAACTGCCCTTTGCAAGTCCTGGCATTGTGTCCTTTGTTGTTACATTTGGTACATGTAACAGTTTTTTGTGCTCTAGAAACTGTATTCCCTTTGATCATATCCTCTTTTTCTGAAGCTGACTTTTTTTTTGGTCTCCCTATTGGGACACAGTGTTTTGGAGGCAACAAAGTAATTGGACAAGGTGACTTCATCCACATTCTCCTACCATTTATTGGATCCACCTTGAATGAGTACACGTTCCTCCAGGTTGATAGCCAATAACATTCATGAACAAAGGTTTCTGGAATACCAATTGCAACATTATTTCTCCTCATGTCCCAAATTGCAGATACAACATGTTTGCATGGCATTCCAGTTATTTCCCACTTCTAACATGCATGTTTATTGATTCACATTCACTACACACTGGTCTTGCCAAGTTCCACTAACTTGGTACTTCCCATTTCCACAAAACGATGCTATATACTCATCTGCCTCATCTTTGATCTTTTGCAACATCTTGGTAGTTGTTGGAGTTAAAGGGCCTGTTGCTTTGTCAATTTCTTTGTCAACATTCACAATCCTCTTCATGATGTACTCCCGGATAAACTCTAAGCAACTGATAAACCCAACAAATAAAGGGTACAAATGACTCCTTAAACACTACTACTATGCACTAAAAACGTAGTACAAGGTAAATAAGGTCGATCCACAGAGACACAGGACAAGTGTTTATACCTTTTTGTGTAAGGTACAAAAATGGTCACAGAATGGGGGGAATTTATAAGCAATGATTTAAACTATAGAATAAATCAATAAGTAAATGATTGATTAAGTGAAATAAGTTCAAGATTTGTAAGTACTCCAACTCTATGCAAGACAAATTAGCAATGTGATTCCATGGATGACAAGATATTTGTTTAATTCTATCTAAGTTGGTACTTGAAAGTGTTAACAAGCTCTAACACTTCCCATTCACCACAATAATTAACCAAAACAAGCTCTTTGATTAATCCTAACCTTACCAATCTAATCTAAACAAACTCTTAGAATTAGGTTGAAAGATTGCATTAAACTTTATGTGAATGTTCTCAACAACACTCAATACTCCTCATAAGCTCGGGAGCATAAGAATGTGTGAATAAGATTTACACTAAATTCATTCAATAGAAATCAATTTAGTGCTTGTTACCTAGTCCAATTTACAAAACAATTACGGATTTTGCAATTAGATAACTTGAATGATCTAACCCTAATTCAAATGGCCAATAAGAATCACAATTAGAATCAAACATTCGATTGAAACAAAATCAAATTCACTAGATAGAAAATTGAAAGAAAACATCAAGTCATATGATTGAAATCACAACTAGAAGTCAAGACATAAAGTTGGAGAATCTAGGGTTCTAGCCACTCATGACTAGAACAAGATCACAAATCTAGAAAATGAAATTAAAGTTCTTACAAAATGAAATCAAATGTTCCCAAGTGTTAATCAACTTCAAAATCCTCAAGAAAATCGCCTTCTCTACTCCAAAAGTCGACCCCCCAAAGTAAAAAGTCGGTTCCCCCCTTTAAAAATGGTGAAAAACTGGTTTAAAACCCGCATTTACGTTTACACGGCCCGCGTAAATTAACACTGTCATTTACACGGCCCGTGTAAACGCAAAAATATATTGTGCAGAAATCTACGTTTACACGGCCCGCATAAACGCAAGGCGTGCATTTACACGGCCGTGTAAATCTCTGTAAAGCCAAAATCTTCATTTCTTTGATATCTTGCTCCTCGGTGCTCCGCAAGTCCTGAAATTTTGTCCGCAACTTTTATTTACCTCCTCCAACAATATCCTACCTCCAAAAGTCCCTGAAATATCACAAAAGTATTTGAATGAAATTGCCTGATGAAAAATCCCGAAAAACATGCAAAATGCATGAGTTTAAGCCTATATGCAATGTACTTTTATGAAATAAAGCTACAAAATGGGTACATGAAATGCACCTAACAAATCTCCCCAAGCTTAAACCTTTCTTGTCCTCAAGAAAGAACAAGAAAATTTAAACCGGAGAAAATAAAATAAAAGAGAAGAAAAGAAAATCAAAGTTAAACTTTTTTTTTTTTGAAACTTGATGCAAGAAATCAAAACAAACATGAAAAAATATATCCAACCCAATTAACCCTGTTTTGTACCATAGTTGAGAATGTACCTGTCATGCCTTGAGTCAACTTGGCTTTAGTCTCAAAATATTATATGATAATAGAAATAAGACTTTGGCCACTCCCTAATACAACTCAACAGAATCAAAGATCACAACACTAATTCCCTTTCAATATCATCAAGTCAATTCTTGGAACAAATTATGGGCTTACTCTCGTGAAATTATATGTGACAAAACATGCTCAACCATCTTTGTTTCATAAAATATAACAATGCCCGATTCCAGCTATTTGTTGATCAACAACAATCTTTTTCTGAAAAATCTTTTCTAAAAATTCCCTAATATTTATCCAGATTGGTTACAAACTTCAAACCACTTACACCAGTCAAAGTAATTAACATTCAGTCCAATGTCATAAGTTCAAATCCAAGTCCAAGGGAATCTTTTGACAGCCAAGTATTTTTCCTAAACACAATATTCAATTAAACTATAAACACAACTATATACAAACTTCCTAATTACATTTTTTTTTTACAAATAAAGCTCATGGCTTTCTTTGAAATCCGTGTAACGGGCTTCCAACCAACACATCCAGATCAAATGACCTTAGTGTGCTAGATTTAAAAGGATCCATCGGGTTTACTTGCCCGAACCTCAAAGGCCACAGATTAGCTTTATTTGGTTATTAAGTTCATGACTTTCTATGGAACCCGTGTAGCGAATTTTCAACTCAATCAGTCCCAAACAATTTAGCTTTAGGCGATTAGGTGTAAAACACCCCTCAGAGTTTACTTGTTCGAGTCCCAAAGGTCACAGATTAACTTAATAATATATTTTTTTTTAATTTATTATTATTATTATTTTTTTTTTTCATATAAATAAGATAACATATAACACTCTTATTAATTTATTTGCTAGGCCTATTTCTTTATATTTTCGTCCTTGACTTTTCTATTGTGGGACATCTCACGGTCTATTACCGTGAGGGACTTCTAGACATTTTTCGGGGGACTAAAGGTCAACATGCAAAGACCCGTAGGTATAGTTGGAAGCTATGTCCCCAAGCACGGTATATAAAAGGGAATGAGTAGAAATGACTTTTTAGAGCGCTGGAAGGCTCGGAACATTGAGATTTTGTATTCTTTTTATGAACTTTTGAATTTGGCATTTTAAGTTCAATTGAGCATTACTACTCATAAGACCGGTCATATGTCCCAAAGAATTAACTCATACCTGCTGTTATGCTCCAATGTTGACAATCTTCTCACTTTCTGTTTTGCACAAGTAGCTTCGGGAGGTGTGTTCGTGTGTGATTAACTTGCTTTTAGATTTTTCAATAAAAAGAGCAAGCCAATTTCAAGGCACATGACTCATTTACCAGCTCAACTGTTTTGAAAAGATTCGGTTGCTTGGGATTGGATCGTTTTTTTTAATTATGCAATGAATGCAATGCAAAAATTTAGATGCAAAGAAAATAATAAAAATTAGAATAGAAAGAAAAATCTTTTTGGTTTTTGAAAAATTTTCCATACCGAAAAAAAAATGAAAAAGAAAATGAAATGAAAATTAATGCAATATGTACAAAACTACATGCAACCTACATGCAACGGGATTTATGCATGGATGGATGCCCCTCCCCAAGCTTAAAATATAGCATCGTTCTCGATGCTTGGAGAGAGGCATAGCCGGCCTATTGAGAGTCGGATGGTGGAGGATGGTAGCTGGGTTGGGAATGGGTCCAAAACAGTCACATATACATACCAATTGAATTTTTAAGCAAAATATGAACGACTAAAGATATGGAAAGAATTTACCAAATCGTTCTTGGAGCCTTGCAATTATGGTGAGAACCTCCTCTTCATCCTCCCCAAGCTATCCGTGAAGTATTTTTGGAGCCGGAGATTCATTTTCTAGGCATAAAAAAATAAGTTTAAAACCATTTGGGACATTAAAAAAAATTGAAATTTACCAAAGACTAAAAAGTTTTAAAAGAAAGAAAAAAAAACTCCGGGTTGCCTCCCGGTTAGCTGCCCTTGTTTTAAGTCGTTGGCTCGACTTGGCCCCCTGAATGTGCTTTGTTCTAAGTAGGTGGACCTTTACAACACATTAACCTTCTCGCCACTTCCTTCAATTAAAAACTTATCTTCTACCTGACTTTTTTTTTCTTTTTTTTTAAAGCACCTGCTCACAAAATGCTTGGCATAAACAATTAGTAACACCGTGTCCCCGGCAACGGCGCCAATTTGTTAGGCGTATCA